TTATTTTCATCATTTTTTTTGTTCCCTTTCCCCACCTCCTCCCCAGTTGTCTACCATGTGCATCCCTGCATTTGATCTGGTCCCTTCCATACTACCTGGTCCTCACCCCAAGAATGTTTTTATATAGTAGCTTTTTCCGTATGCCCCTTTTGCATTTTTTTTTTTAATCGCTTACCTCAGCGGACTCATGTTGTACTTGCCCTTTTGTGCCTGGCTTACTTCACTTAGCATGATTTCCTCCAGCTCTTCCCATGCAGCGATGTGCTTCATACGTTCGTCACTGCTTTTTAGTGATGCGTAGTACTCCATTGTATGTATCTACCACAGTTTTTTAATCCAGTCATCAGTTGGGCATCAACAATTTGTACACATTATCTTTCTTCTTGAGCCCTTTGATGTCATCCCCTCTTTTCCCCCCTCTCTCCCTCACCCTGCCACCCCCATAAACCCTTCATATATTATGTATTGTTATTATTTGTGTTAGTCTGAGTAGACTAGAGAAACAAATCCATAGAAACTCATATGTGTATAAGAAAGAGCTTTATATACAAGAGCAGTTAAATATCAAGAAAATAACCCAGGCCAGTCCAGATCAAGTCCAAAAGTCCGATATTAGCCCATATGTCCAATGCCAAGCTATAAAGTCCTCTTCAGCCTCAGGAAACACATACAATGATGCTGAATGCAGAAGATCACAGGCCAGTGGGTGGGAAGTCTTATGGATCCAGTGGCATTGTAAGCATTTCAGCGCTGTTAGGGGGTCTCCATGTAGCTTCTCTGGCTCAAGAGATCTGGCCTTTCTCCATGTGTCTTTTCCACAGGGATGTCTCCCAGGGAGTGAGCAGAGAGAGAGTGTGTCTCCCGCCTTCAAGGAGGAAATGCAGGAGTTCCCAGAATCCTCAGGAGAAACCCATGCCCACACAGAGGCCTTATTGACTATAATTATAATTATAATTATAATGATTGACAGGCTAGACTCCACCCCTACAATCTTAATCCTCAAATTGACACCAGATTATGTAACTACCACATTAATATTTTATTTCTTGATTTAGTCTCCGTATAGGTCTATATGCTGCTGAAGGCAGCATTTCCCTGTCTTTGAAGCATTGAAAGGCAGGTTATTTTGAGAACTAGGGTACACCTGGTACATGCCATTTTATTTTCAATGGCCTCATATGGATGTGAAAGTTGGACACTGACTAAATGTGGGGTTAAGGAGGGAGGTCCCCCACAAATCATCACAGGTCCGGTAGGCACAATTGTACAGCGATAATAAGTAAAGATTATAGTAAATTCATAAAGAGCATGAGAGGTAAAAGATAGAGTCAAGTAATGGAGTCAGACACAATTCATGGTAGCATTGCTCACCTCAGTCCTGCTTGATGGTCCTCGTGGGGGGAACCCGGCCGGGAGCAGGAGCAGCCCTGGGGGCCGAGAACCAGGGAGCGCTCTCCTGGCCCGAGAGCCAGAGAGGGCCTCCAGGAAGCCAGGACCAGGGAGAGCTTTGGGCCCAAGGACCTGGGAGAGCCTTTTCTTTATTGCTCACCAAGCGTATATCTCTTTAGCGGGACATGATTACAGGTAACCACATGTCACAGGAAGGGGCAGTACAATAGGCATACATGTTATAGGAAGGGGATCTATGATAGGCATAAGCATAACAGGAAGGGGATGAGCTAAGGGTGTGCCTATAGGAATGGGAAGGTCTACGGGTATACATGTGACAAGATGGGCAGACCCTAGATTCATGATGGCAGCCTAACCTTGGTCATCCTTGGGCGGGTTTGACCTCTCTGGTGTCTCGTACAAGGAAACAGACAACTACTATCTTATCAGAAGGGAGTGGGCCCTATTTGTGGGATAAACAGTGGTGTCTGCTTGCTCCAGATGTCTACTCCTGATGACCTCCAAGTGTATAGTCATTTGCAAGCAGCTAAGTCTGCCATATATTTGGGGGAGACAATTTGGGAGAAATCCTTCTATTTCCAATAACTAACATTGACCAAAGAAGAGTACATGCATTTGAATTATAGTTCTGGCGAAGAATATTGGAAGTACCATGGACTTCCAAAAGAACAAACAAATCTCTTTTGGATCAAGTACAGCCAGAATGCTCCTAAGAGGCAAGGATGGCAAGACTGTTTCATATGCTTTGGGCATGTTGTCAGGAAAGACTAATCCCTGGAGAATGACAGCATGTGGGTAAAAGTAGAGGAATGGCACACAAAAAATGTTAAAAGAAGGCCTTCCACCGGCTGGATGGACACAGTGGCTACAATGGGATCAAACGGAAGAACCACTGTGAGGATGGTGCCGGACTTGCCAGCCCCTGACACCAGCAACAACAACCCTCCCAGAGAATGCTGCTTTCTCTGAGTCAGACCACCTTCAGACGCCCATTTGGGCATCTTTCAAGATCTCAACATGTGTTCTTAAATGATCTTTGGGATTTGAAAATAAAAATAAGTCTGAAGGGATAAGTTCAGGGCCATACGGTGGATGGGATAAAGATTTTAGCATAATTCTTAGGACAGGAAGTCACTACTATTCTGGATAGATGTATCCTTATGATAAGAAATTTTCCTCAGTGCAACCGTCCTGGTCTTTTCCCCACTAATGCAGTTTTCCATTTTCTTAAAGCTTCTTGCTAATGAGCCCACTGTGACTGTCCTGTGTTCTTTGGGAAAATCTATCAAAATAAGCTCTTTGCAACTCCCCCCACTGAGCCCTACGCCCAATCATCTATAGCCTTTGGCACTGAGCAGCCTGTCTTGAATTTAACTGGTCCAGCAGATGCCCTTAGGAGCCACTGGCTTGGTTGATTCTTTGTAAAGCACTCTAATGAGACTAAGACAAATATATCACTTAGAAAACGGATGCACAGTAGTCGTCCAGCGCTCACAGAGACGCGTTTAAATCTGCTTTGTGTGGAATTAACCCAGCCATGGAAGAGCTCAACACACGTATCAAAACTTTTCCACTCCACTTCACATTATTACAATATAACTTTCCAAAATTGATTTCTGATTTTTATTATAAATAATTAAAATAGGAAAAGTGGGTTTTTTCTTCCTTCCTTTCCCTTTTAAAAATTAGAAATGGACAAAACCCTTAATTATATGTTGTTTTTTCCCAAGTAAAAAGACTAACTACAGTAACATATACAATAATTTAGTGATCCTCTTTGTATCCTTGGTCTTTCCTCCCCTTTCTTCTTATAGTACAAGAATCTAAAATTGTTGGAATAAATATTAACATTGTAATTTGTGTTGTTTTGTGTGTGTGTTTAGAAGATGAAGTAAAATGTGATGATAATAACAATAATGAAGAGGAGGAGGGCGAGCAATTCGATTTTGACAGTGGAGATGAAATCCCCGAAGCAGATAGACAAGCACCACTCGACCCAGCTGCTAGTGACACGGTAGCACAGGAAGACACTTCCAATGCAGGTAACGCCCGAGCGCGCCACCTGGTGCTCATGATGCTCAAGTCCCTGTGAGCCGCGGGCACCGCGGGGGCGGCGAGTTTGAGTGCTCTTTTAAATGGCTCGCTGCTGTCCCCTGGGCAGGACCGCACGATGAGGCCAGGCCAGGGCTGGAGGCGGGGGCGGGGGCTTCGTTCTCGTCTGGCTTAGCAGCCCACCAGAGATGCCTGGAGGACAACTAGCCCTGAAAGCCCTGCGGGCGCCTCTGGCCCCACACCCGGGTTTGCCACCAGCCCTAAGTGACTGCAGACACTGGTTTGTTAGAGAAGCTGCCCGTTTCCTCCTCCTTATCCTTGCTTGATTTGACTCCGAAAAGGAAAGATGGATTTCTAAGAGTGAGACATTTATGATGTTTTCTGTGATAGAAGGTTAACATATCACCTATTAATATCTCCATTTAAATGGTGGCTGAATTTCTATTTGTTCTGTTTGTTTTCAGCCACATTGCTCCATATATTCCAGGTTTCCCTCACTATCTGAAACTCATGCGTTCCTATGGAAATACTTCTGTTAGCCAAAATGGCGTAAAGCAAAGATGCAATGACAGTTAATGTATATGGGAAATATATTTGAACGTGCTCACCCCCGATAAATTACCTACTAAGCCATACCAAATGGCACAGAGAAGTTTCACTGACACTAACATACTGTGTTCACACAGACCGTTCAAAGCTGCGTTGATTGGGGTGCTGGTTGTAGTTACCTATTAGGAAGGAGTTGGGGTACACGCTCGCTGCTCAGGATTCACACTGCTTGTGTAAGAGCAGGCTGCAAACCCAAAGAACATGGGGCTCTCTGCTCTGTTTTCCATATCTCGTCTTTCACTTAATGAAACTGCGACTGATGTAGGTCTATTGTAAAACGCAGTCGTGTAAAGCAACATTTCAAAGAAGCAGGGATAACTGTGTTTATATTTTAGAGGGTCTGTCATTTTCTAATAAAGACAGCCTTATCGTTATGTCATTCCTAAACAATGCCAACTAAAGTGAATTACATGGATTTCCTACAGGCACTGAACTCACTAGACTAGCTGGACAGGTTAGACTAAAATTACCAGTAGGACGACCAATGGTAATTTTTTCATGATGCCAATATTTACTTTTGGCAGCTTATAATTTGTTTATCTTGTTAAATAAGCAGTCTTAGGCTGTGTACATTTCATCTGCTCACAAAGATAGTATTGATGCCCCTGGTTTCTAGAAGTTTCTCCCTTCCTCAAAGTAACGTGCACCCAAGGCAAACTCATATGAAGAGCAGTCCACGTGACCACCTGTAATCTGGGAATCTCTAGGGAGTCTTAACACCGGAAAGGAGGAGTTCAGTCAAAGGTTTCAACTTTTTCTTTATTTCTACCCATCGGATGGTGTGGAAGACATGCTTTTGAGCATGTGGCTGCTGGCGAACAGTCTTCTTTTCTGTATTTCAGGAAGAGAACATGGAGCTGAAAGAGAAGCAGTTGTATTAGTGGAGCCTACTAAACTGATGGTACCAACTAAAGTAAATCCCTATTCAGTCATCGACATCACACCATTCCAGGCAGACCAAGCCACAGCTCCAGAGCCAACTGCCGAGGAAGAAAATCTGAGCCTCCACGTGCCCAGCGGGTACTCTGTTCCTGTGCCCTGTGGCTATGCCGTCCCTTCAAACCTGCCTTTGATACTGCCAGCCTACACCAGTCCTGTTATCATTCGCACTGTCTCTGTGGATGAAGAAGGTATTGCTTTTGTTGTCGTTTGTTTTGCTTTGCCGATGAGCAGTGACACATTTGTGGAATAAAATCTACTTATTCTGTCCCCCCACCACCGCCAAATCATTATATACTTGTTTTTAAGTTGAAAACTGAGCGTGAAATTAATTTTATTCCGTGATAGGAGCACAGTCAAGGAAATACATGCAGTGATTGTTGGGGAAATTTTGAAATAACATCTTATCCAAACTGTATTTGCTTTATAATCTTAGGGAAGAATTATATGAACTTTATTCCAGTTCTCTGTCTGTCTTCTCACAAGTATTCATAAAACCTTATCCATCTTTTGGGGATTTATTATGATGTTGAGTACATGTTGGATGGCTAACTAAAAGGCCGGTGGTTCAAACTCACCAGTCACTCCACAGGAGAAAGATGAGGCTGTCCGCTCATATAAAGTTCAGTAAAGCCTTGGCAACCGTATATAGGGTACTTATAATTACAATCAATTTGATGGCAATGGGTTTGGGTTTTACTCTAAATTATAGCTATTTTTTATATGTCTAATAATATCTATAACGTAGCCATCAAGAAACCAAACAACACATTGCACTGGGTAAGTCTGCCGTACAACACCTCTGTAAGGGGTTGATGTTACTTTAATGACTAAGGTGTGTCTGACCCAGCCACAGTATTTTCAACTGCCTCATATGCTTGTGAAAGTTAAACATTGAATAAGGAAGACAAAAGAAGAATCGATGCATTTGAATTATGATGCTGGTGAACAATATTGAAAGTACCATGGACTGCCAAAAGGACAAAGATGTCTGTTTTGGAAGAAGTACAGCCAGAATGTTCCTTAGAAGCAAGGATGATGAGACTTTGTCTGATGTATTTTGAACATGTTGCCTAAAGAGACCAGTCCCTGGGAAAGGACATCATGCTTGGTAAACTAAAGGGGCAGCAAAAGAAGGGGAGACCATCAAGCAGAAGCATTGCTAGAGTGGCTGAATCAATGGCTCAAGCCTAAAAATCGTTTGGAATAACTGCGCGGGATGGAGCTGTGCTTTGTTCTGCTGTACATAGTGTCGCTGTGAGTCAGAATGAAGTCGATGGCACCTAACAACAGTGACAACAACAATGTCATCTGTTGATCTGCAAACTATAGGTTTCTTGCAGTCTAGCTATTTTATTCTTGGGAATTTAGGGGAACAAAAATTGGAAGGAGAGGCAAGAGACATAGAAAGCTGTCAGTTTTGCTGCTTCTGGAACTTTCTCATAGAGGGAAACCAGGAAACTGAATTCTGAACTGGTTAAACATTTATGAATAGAGGTATGGGTCCCTGAGGATCAGAAGATTGGGGGTGGGGGGAGACTATGAGGGAAACCAGATAGACATTGCTAAAAGAAGTAGAAACAATTTTTGTTTTGTGATTAAGCTAGCATGATCTCTCCACTATCACATGCTTACCAACAATGTGAAGGAACCCTTGTGGCACAGTAGTTATGCACTGGGTTACAAACTGCAAGGTCACCGTTCGAAACCACCAGCTGCTCTGAGGGAGAAAGGTGAGGCTTTCAACTCCTGAAAAGAGTTACAGTCTTGGACACCTACTGGGTAGATCTACCCTGTCCTGTACCGTATACTCAATGGTAGTGAGTTTGCATTTTTACTAGTAATGCAGTGTGGAGAATGAACGTAAGAGCCAGGAAAGGTGTGTCACTGCTTCCATTTGGCCCCTCACCTCGCCTACCTGAGTCTCAACGTACTCATCACTGTAAGATGGGTGTTGGTTGTATTGTTATTTCTTTCACTTCTACGTAGTGAAAACGGAATCAAGTTATACCTTAGGACTGGTTCTTAACCCGTGTGTGGGTCGTCCCGATTCATAACAATAGCAAAATGACAGTTATGGAGTAGCAATGAAAATAATTTTATGGTTGGGGTCACCACAACATGAGGAACTGTATTAAAGGCTCACAGCTTTAGGAAGGTTGAGAACCACTGCCTTAGGATGACTTGGTTTCAAAAACCCATTCGCGGTTATTTTAAAGACTTGGTGAATTATTTAAGTCTCTGGATGGCACAGACACTTAATTGTTCTGCATTTAACTGATGGGCTGGTGGCTTGAGTCTACTCAGAGACACTGTAGGAGAAAAGGTCTAGTACCCCACTTCTAAGAGATTAGTCATTGAAACCACGTCTGTCCTAACATGCATGGGGTCACCATGAGTTGGAATCCATTTAAAGGAAGCTGGTGTGGTCTAATATTGTTTAAGCGTCAGTTGGTTTTTGCAGAGACTTATATTTGGGGGTTTAAAAAATAGTATGATAACCATTCCTACTGTTGAGACTTGAACTCTGCAGGCAGGCACCTGCCAGCACCGTTGCCCACTACCATCAAGAGGATTCCAATTCATTGAGACCCTACTGAGGGTTCCCATGGTTATTAATCTTTATGGGGGTAGATAGCCTCTCTCTCCCAAGGAGCTGCTGATGGGTTTGAACCACATACCTTGCCGTTAGTCCAGTGTTTACAGTTTGTCCAGCTTGCAGTTCATCCAGCACCACCAAGGCTCTTAATGTGGTTACATAATCTGGTGTCAGTTTGAGAGGATTACGTGTGAAGGGATGGAGTCTGGCCTGGCAATCAAGATGTAACCATTGAGGCCTCTGTGTGGGCATAGGCCTTCTCCTGAGAATTCTGGGAACTCCTGTATTTTCCTCCTTCGAAGCGGGAGACACTTCTCTCTCTGCTCACTCCCTGAGAGACCCTCTATTGACAATACCCATGGCACTCCGCCCTGGGAGCTGGAGAAGCCACATGGACCTACCCTGATGCAACCAGACTTCTGGAGCCAGAGAAGCCACATAGAGACCTCTGCCAGCACTGAGATGCTTATAATGCCACTGGATCCACAAGCCTTCCAACCCACTGGCCTGTGATCCTCCTGAATTCAGCATCATTGCATGTATTTCGTGAGTCTGAAGAGGACTTTATAGATTGGTATCGGACATATATGCTAATATTGGACTTATGGACTTGGTCTGGTCTGGGCTGGGATATTTACTCAGCATTCATTGAATGCTCTTGTATATAAATTTCTTTCTTATATACATATGCGTGTTTATGAATTTGTTTCTCTAGTCCACCCAGACTAATACACTTAGCATCACCGTGATAGGTCTTGTCTATAGCAAGGCCTTTGCGAGTTGAACCTGTGAGTACATAGTGAGAATACAAAATTACTCTTCTCTTTGCCAAATCAAAAATGTTTATATTAAGAACTGACCCAGAAAGGTAACTAGCCTTAATTTCTCCTTTTTTCTTGTAAATATATTAACATGTTATCTTTCCCAGGAAACAGGATGCGGAATTTCCCAGGAATAGATGATGTTTTTTCATGGATCACAATCATACCTGAGGAGAATGGCCATTCAGATATATATAATGAAAATTTCAATTCAGCATTATTTCCTTCTAGTTAGTAACAAGGGAAGGGAAAAAATCCTTCCAGTAAATTGTGATTTTTGTCTTGTGGAGGCCACTGAGGGATTTTTAGGGTCCATGTTTTCCGGTTATAATTGGCAGCAACCCTAAACTTTTACCACCATCACAGTATTGTTCTTATGCTGTAGTCTGAAAGAGCCAGAACAGTCTAAAATTAATGAAGTATGGCTTGTGGTGATTCTGTGCTTAAGAAAAATTTACTTTTATAGAAATTACTTATTTTCAAATAAGTTAACATGATTTAACGTTGTATTAAAAAAATAAATAACTCACTCACTCACTCTTTACAGGAATATTTCGAAAGCCTGTCTTTCTCCCCAGGAGTGACTGGTGGTTTCAAACTGCTGACCTTTTGGATTGCAGCCCAATACCACCATTAAGAAAACTAGATTATAATAAGCATCACTGTGAGGTCCAGAATCCAGGAACATAAGTGTCTACAGTTTTTATTTTGTTTTGTTTTTCCTAAAGAGAAATGAGTACACCTAGCTCTCTCCTGGGCTGGTTTTTATAAAGCAAGGATTTTGGCATTAGGCCAAGCTTCGAGTTCTGGATCTGCTACTTCCTACCTAGATAACATTGTGCAGTTTCTTATCTTATGGCACCTATGTTATCTTCAGCTTGCTATGGGAGTAGTTGTGGGAGAAATTCCTAATGAGTAAGCTCATCCTATTATTATCTTTGCTTTTCATATGGCTTCTAGTTTGGTATTTGGTGAATGTTATTAGGACACAGAAGAATTTCATGTGGTAATGGGCTAACGGGTGCATTTAGGCGTAGAAAGGGGGAACCGATCGCAAGGATCTACATATAACCCCCTCCCTGGGGGATGGACGAAAGAAAAGTGCATGAAGGGAGACGTCGGACAGTATAAGACATACCAAATAATAATAATTTACAAATTATCAAGGGTTCATGGGAGGCGGGGATAGGGAGGGAGGGGGAAAATGAGGAGCTGATACCAAGGGCTCCAGTAGAAAGAAAACGTTTTGAGAATGGTCATGGCAACAAATGTACAAATGTGCTTGACACAGTGGATGGATGGATGGATTGTGATAAGAGTTGTATGAGCCCCCGATAAAATGATTTAAAAAAACAAAATATCTACAACAACAAAAAGAAAGCTATGTTTTACAAATCTACCTATGCTCTTAAGGCACACTGCAGGGAAATACAATCCTCTGTGTGTGGTTTGTGTGTTGCTGGTCCACCTTTCCCACCTTCATCAACTTTGTGGAATATTTTGTCCTTTGCTGGTGGTCATTTAGCTAGTCCATGTCTGGTCGGAAAAGTAGTTTCTAAAAGTGGTGGATTTGACTTCAAGTCCTGGCACTACCTTTGTTATGTCATGTGATGTGACTTTTTCCTGAACTTAACACTGATCTCTTGGTGAGCCAAACACTGTACGAGAAAAGCACCAAATAGACTTGGCATGCATGGAGAGAGAGAGAGAGAGAGAGAGAGAGAGCGCAACGCAAGCTTGGTTGTCAGATATCACAGACTTTACCATTTCTTCTTTAGATGTTTTCTGAAGTTGCCATATAGACATATCTTTATTTAAATCACAATTGTAAATTTTCCATGAAAACCTGTGAAGTAGGAGAGAACTCTGTTTTAAAGTCCAACTTCATTTGTTTGGTATTTTGTGTGTTTTCTTTCTGCCTTTTTAAACTGAAATTTTTTGATATCACCTTTTAGTATAACCCAGTTTTGAATGAATTTTATTGAAAAACAAAACATTTTTAATAAACCACTTAATGATCTTTATGCTAATATAGCTCTATTGTTGATAAGAAAAGAAAATATGAAGACATTTTAAAGGTAGAATCAGCTTCACAAGGTTTCTCGTCAAGCTCTAGAACCAATAGAAGCTCTTCTGTCTTTTCTTTCCTAGCAGAAGCACAGGAAGGAGCAGAGGAGAGTCAGTTTAATTCTTTGAGTTCTGAGGATCCAACAAACAGGTATCTTCATTAATTTTACAAATATGTTCTGAATGTATGACTTTTTTTCCTTCGAATGATTCTGATGTGCTATCCATATTTTAAGTCATCAGTTCTTTACCTTCAAGTGATGTTAACTGTTTCCTTAAAAAGAACTTATTTTCAACTATAATTTTACTGATCAAATAAAGTATTAGGCCAAGTGAAAATAGACATTTTCCTCTCTTAGAAATTATTTCTATATTGTAATGTTAACATAATTAGTTTTTCTCAGAAGGCTCTTGTTTGAAGCCATTCACATTTTAAATGTACTGATTCCAATACATTTGAAAATATTTAGAATTCAGTCTGAATTTACTGACTTTTCAGGTGCCTCTGTCTTGGCCTAGCCCACCCGTCTGCTCTGTTTCTTTGTCTTTCTGTTTTGTGTATACCCTGCCCTCCAGTCCGGTGTTCCGCTACTGAACATCAAACTTCTCTAAACGTTATCATCGCTCTGTGCAGAGAAAGAGGAATAAGGGTCAGAGTGTCCCCTCTTGGAGATGCACATTGTGTCTGTGAGCATAGGGATTCTCAGAATCCCTTTGTGGTGGGCGGGGTTTAGTTTTGTTTAATATAGGATTTTCTCCAAAAAATGTTTAACTATACAAATTTTCTTTCATAATTTTTGGACTATCCCTTTTCTATTTGAAATGCCCAGGAATCTCATACAATCAACAAATTCCTAGTTATCCTTCAAAACCCAGTTTAAATACCTCTTTTCTCATCCAGGTGCTCCTTTGTGTTTCCAGAGCTGAGTTGTAATTCATTGCTCTGCGTTGTCATCGCTCTCTTTCTGTGTCGCTTTCCCCAATGAACTCCTCATGGACAATCTACGGGTGTTATTAAATCTCAGAGTATTTTCCACCGAGCATGACAATATGCTCCGTGTGTGGTTGGTATTGGTTATTTATGTATGTATTTTTCACTTGCCAAATATTTATTGTCTCCCACATACAAGGGATCCAAAAGAGAATAGTACATAAAACCAGCCACAATGCCGCCATTCATCTTATAGTTCCAGTGGGACAGAGGGATATTAATTAACACTCACACTAATGAATGGACAAATCACATTCCAAAGTGATTACTCCAGGGGAAAGGAATGGGGCTCCGGGATCCCAGACCAGAGAGGCCCACCCTGCACAGAAAGGTCAAATGGTGTCACGGGTTCTCAGTAGATTATTGTTCGATAAATAAACGGATGTGCACATTTCCCTAGAACGGCCATCTCGTTTATTATCCACCTTCTTCTCCCTGCGCTCAACCAGCCTTTCCCCCGAGCCCATCGGCAGGGCCTCTTCTTCCGAAACCCTGACTTTGGTTTCCTGCCTCAGTGGCTTTGCTGCTGTCCGTGTTCTAGCCATATTATCATCTCCGTAATCTCCCACTACCGGCACTTCAAATTCCAGTTCATATTCCCCCTCCTCTCTGGAACCTTTGGCCACTCTGACCCTTTGCCTTGCCCTGGGCAGGAAGGAAGGGTGTGCTCTGTGTGTGTGCCCTGGCATTGCCCTCCGCCAGTCTCTGCGGAGCACTGGGCCCGAGGGCTTGCCGCCAAGTCATCCTGGCATTGCCCTCTGCCAGTCTCTGCGGAGCACTGGGCCCGAGGGCTTGCCACCATGTCATCCTCGCAGCTGCGGGTTTGTGTGTGTATCAAGAAGAGGCCCCCCAGTTTACCAGGCAAGCTGGTTAGCAGTGCATTCCCACTGTCACATGCGGGGAAGCCGCAAAAGCAAGGTGGAGGTGATGCAAAGGATTGAGTTTGTATTTGCGCATCCATGTGTATCAGCCCAAGTTGGGCAGGACTCCCTAGCCAAAGTCACGTTTTACTGCTCTCAGCTCCTGAGGCTGGCCTTTGGAAAGTATTTCTTACATGCATTTTTACTTACAATACAGATGATCTCTAACGAAAAGCAGTCCATAGTTAGAATTTTCTACCCAATTGAAGTACAGAATTACCGGGGTAAGTCAAAAAGCGTTGTTACTACTAGATGGTCCAGTCCACACACACACAGGTTTATTCCAGACAAAACTTACTTAAGCCCCTTTCTCTGATTGTTGGATGGCTGCAGGCAGGCTTTCTATGTAATACCCTTGTTTTTGTCTTGTTTGGGTGCCTGCAAAAACAAAACAAAACAAAATGTCCTGTGAAAACGGTGGGTTCCCAGGGGATCTGCTTGGCTAGTTTAATGCAAGGCAGCGAGGTCAGTTCAGAAGGTTCTAGCGATTGATTTTGGGGGAGTGCACAGGAGTAATCTTGATAGATTTTTCAAAGAACACAGGAAAACTGCCTTGAGGAGACAAAGAGCAGACTTGTCCCCGTCACAATGCGGTTCTTTGTGGGTAGCAGAGGCTGGCCTGCGGCCGTTTTTGGGGGAATGGTTTCCCCGTCCACTCTACCCACTTGACCTTGTGCCTTCACACTTCTGTTGGTTCCTGAAACTCAGAAAACGTTTATGAAGATGTAAGGCTGCTATTTTGACGTGGTGCAACTCACACTGCGGAATTCTCCAGGGAAGGGTGGGAAATGGGAACAGCACCTTCCTAAGGGTAGAGACATAGATGGAGGATATTGCAGGAAGCAATCGTGTCTCATTTAGGCAGTTTTGTTTAATAAAGGTTTCCATGATTATGGTGTTTTGGTTTCTTTTTACTTACCAGTATTTTTTGGAGCACTTACATCCGATTCACCATGCTGTGACCTCTGAGAGAGTGAGTGGCGGGTTGTTTGTGCTCCATTGCCATCAGGTCGGTTGGTTCCAATGCACATCGAGCCGCTAGGTTTCGGAGATTTCCCGTCTTTATGGGATCTTCGTCTTTCCCTCCTGGAGCTATTGGTGGCTTTGAACCACTAGCCTTGCAATTTACCGCCCATGGCTTTTCCCACAGCAGCGCTGGGGTCCTGTTATTTATTAGTAAGGTGAAATCTAGCGTGAAAAATAGATTTATTTAAAGAGAACATAATTGAACCTTTACCCCATCCACCCTGTGCCCTGATTTCATTTCTTTCTAGTATAATTTGAAACTTAAAAAGCATAAGACTATATCTTTACATGGTAAATTATTCAGCTAAATACAGGGAGGCTATCTTAATTTTCAGACTACTCTATACCATAGGATTTATGTGGCCTGTCTTCCAGTATGTAAAGCATAGGTTCCCAAACTTAATTAGTTTACCACCCCCTTTTTAGAAAAAAAAAATTACCCAGCTCTCCCTGTCAAGTAAAAATGTTTATGCTACAGGCCATCATCAAGTGCTTTCAGTAATTGCAGCACCTTCAGAGGGTAGCATCACCCTCTTTAGAAAACACTGACTTAAAGTCTTTTTTATGTAGAAATTGTCAAGACTTTTGCACTTTTCCCTCTCTATTGCCATTTTGCAAGTATTTAGTTATTCGTTAAAAGGTTAAGCCAAAAAAGGCAGTTATGACAGAGACGGTTACTGCCAGGACGTTCATTGTTCCTATCAGTTACTCTGTAGCTGGAACATTGCATTGCAAGATACTTGTATACTCGTGATTACTTTTCTCCCAGAGTGTTTCAGAACTCCCCTTATTTCTAGATGCTTGCTTTATTTTTAATTTCCTTCCCTTTCTGCTAAGTGTATCTATATACTTTGCTCTCAGTATATGTCTTGTCGCATGTGGTCAGGGGGTTTCACCTGTTGAATTCATGTTTTATTGTAGGAGCCCGGGGGGAATAGTGGGTAAGCCTTGCTGTCTAACTGAAAGGTCAGTGGTTAGAACCTGCCAAACTCTTCTTTGGCATACAATTTACATACAAATATCACCCTTTGCTACACTGCTTTCTGGAATTACTTGCGAGTCAGATCCACTCAATGGCAGTGGGGTTGAGTTCTACATTCATATTATTCAGAACTGTGATTTTCACAGAGATGAACCTTAGAATATACTTGTTGAGTGAATCTGATCTTGTCATTCTTCTGAAGAAAGCACGCCGATAACAGTGCAAAATCCCATGCTTTTGGCCCCCAGGACCATTGCATTGTGAACACACTGCCAATTAGTAATGACCATTTTTATTTATTTGGTTTTGTTTTGTTTTTGTTCTCCCACTTTCCTGTTACTAGAATACAAAAAGACCTCTATTTGACTCACGTGTTTCCAAACTCAGCACCATGTGTGGCACAAAATAACCCACAGGTCAGTGCCGTGGAGGCGGTTCTGACTCACCGCGACCCTGTTAAACAGAGCAGAACCACCCCTTCAGGTGGACAAGGCTTTACATCTTTATAAAAAGAGAAAGCCTCATCTTTCTCCCTAGAAGCAGCTGCTGGGTTAGAACTGCTGATCTTGCAATTAGTGGCCTAATACATAACCCACTACACCACCAGGCTCCACGTGGCATAAAATAGGTCCTCTGAAAGGTCTGATGGAATACTGGACAAAAATTTTGGGCTTTTGTAACCAAGAACTCAATTTCTTTCATATTCCTGTCTTGGTTCACATATGGTGGGTTTATCTAAAGCACTTATATTATAAGTAGTTATTAATGAGAATTAGAATTTTGTGTTTTTATAATAACATGGAAAAATATACAAATTGCAAGCATGGCAACACATATGAAAGTCAGTAAAAAACTATTGCTTATTGTTTATTCCAAATATAGTATGTTTTAACATGTTAGTGGATGACTGAAGACAAGTTCTCTCAGTAATACACCTGTCTTACTCCTGTTGAGGTACCTTCAAACATTTTCTTTTTTACAAATATGATCAAAAGAGCGGCTTCCCAGCGGACCTGCTAGGCTGGTCCTATTCAGCACAGGGAGGGCAGCTCGGAAGGCTGTGTCAGCTGGTTGGGAAGGGTTCTAAAATGATTTTCTCAGAGGACAAAGGACAAATGTGGAAGCTTCTTTGGAAGAATTTTTAAGAAAATGGAAAACCACATTGGTGAGAAAACAGCCAGGTTTTCTGAGGAAGTTTTCCTATCACCACAGTGCATTTACTGATCTTCATATGTAATAAGGGCTGGTCTCAGAATTTCTTTTTTCTTTTTGTAGTAGTTAGATTTTTAAAAATCATTTTATTAGGGGCTCATACAACTCTTATCACAATCCATACATACATCAATTGTGTAAAGCACATTTGTACATTCATTGCCCTCA